TAGCAATCTGCTTGCAGCTTGAGCAGGGTGGCTGTCGGGGACGTCTGATAGCCACTTAATACGTGTTCAAAGCGCTGACTGCAGCGAGAGGGTGAGTCTGGTGGCCGATTTCGGAGGAGCCCCAGCACTCAGCTCCCTGCATTTAACCTCCAGTTCTTCCTGTGTGCATTGAGCTGCCTTGAGATCTGCTATTCTTTCCCCGCAGCTCTGCTTGCAGCTTGAGCAGGGTGGCTGTCGGGGACGTCTGATAGCCACTTAATACGTGTTCAAAGCGCTGACTGCAGCGAGAGGGTGAGTCTGGTGGCCGATTTCGGAGGAGCCCCAGCACTCAGCTCCCTGCATTTAACCTCCAGTTCTTCCTGTGTGCATTGAGCTGCCTTGAGATCTGCTATTCTTTCCCCGCAGCTAATCTCCTCACAGCCAGGATCTCACAAGCCTGTTAGCAGCGAATTGGAGCGGTGGGATGAGCGAGGAGGGTGGTGGCTGCGTGGACGCCGCTGTGCGGAGAGCGTCCGTGGGGTTTTTGGGTGTGAAGCAGTGGGCAGGAGCAGCAGTTGGTGAGCTGTGCTGGCTGTTGGCAGCCCACGGAGCCCAGCGGCCTCCCAACTGCCTCGTCGCCAGCCGCGACAAGGTGGCAGAAGGTCTGAAGGGAGGCTGAATCATTTCTTTCACACTGTGATTGTGTTGCATAACCCTTCTCTTCTGAGCTTCCCTGCTCATCTGCAGGATTGGAGGAGGGTGGGTTGGCTCCTTCTTGAGGGACAACCTGGCCTCTGAACTGTATGGATTGTGGCCACCTTCTCCTAAATGTTGAGTTGCTTCCAGGTAGAGGCAGTATCCAGCCTGGAGTAGTGTCACTTGCCTTATTGAGACCCTCAAGATTAGAAATGATGAGCGCTGTTGAATTCAAGAAGGAACATCCGGAATGATGTGCGCTGTTGAATTCAAGAAGGAACATCCTCTATCAGGTCCTGACTGTGTTTGATTCTCAGACTCTGGAGGAGTTGGAGTGTGGTTTCCCTCTGAGCTGACGTTTTATCCAAAAAACTGCTGTTGCAGATCCTCCTTACTGGGGATCATGGAATCCCAGACGGGTTTGAGTTTGGAAGGGACATTAAAGCTCATCTTGTTCCTACCTCCTGCCATGGGCAGGGACAATTTCCACTAGACCAGGTTGCTCAGAGCTCCATCCAACCTGGCCAGTATGACAGGATATGCTCTGTCCTCTCTCTCTCTGCCACACTAGGTGTGGTTTTTTGGGCTTCTATTCCAAGCCTCAGGTTTGCTGAAGTGCTGATGTACAGTGACCACTGTCTGGGAGGTAGTGGTTGGGAATAAATTAGTTCTCTGTCTCCTGAACTTCCTGCATTGCAGATTGTAGAGCGACTCGACCAACCTCTCACAACAAAAACATGGAGAAATTAGGGTTTTTTAACTTGTTGGACACTTGGGCAGGTGTGGAAAATGTAACAGAGGCAAATATGTTTGGTTTCTTGGTGGCAGCATCTCCACTGAGAGTGGAGCTCCCTAAATTTCTGCGGGATGAATGAGTGGAATTGACTCATGGAAGGGACTGAGGAGAAAGGGAAGCCTGGCTGTTAGGTTGGCTTGGTATCTTATGGGAGCTCAGCATCATTTTCCTCACCTGGGAGGCAGAGGAAAAGGTTATGGCTCATTCTTGGCTCTGGCAAACAGGAATATTCTGCTTTTGTTGTTCACCAGGATGGGATAAGAGGTTTCTGGGGTAGCTACAATTAGAAGCCTTAAATGCAGAGGCTGGACGAGGGCATCCTTCCCTGCCTCCTGGGAGAGAGATGCCAGAGGAAGGACTGAGACTTTTTAAAATGCAGGGCACAAAGGGATTTGGCACAGGGACAGAAACATACCCTAGGATGAGGATGAAAGGCTGTGGCATGGAAGTGTGAACTCCACAGTCACAGCTGTGGCATCCACCTCAGCCTTGGGATTGGACTGAGCTGGAAGCTGCTGGAGCTGAAGGCTTGATCCTGGTTTTGGATGAAAGCTGTCAGTGGAGAAACCAACCACTGCTGATGGCAGGGGATATTCCCTTGTTGAGGGGCTCTAAGAGGCGTGAGGAGGACATGGTGAGTCCAGGTCCGTGTGGGAGATGGTGGCTGAGGAGATATGGGACTGTCCTCCAGGCAGCAAGAGCTCTACAACACAGCGATCCCAGACACTCAACCTGGCTGAACCACCACCTCTGCAGCCAGGTTTGGGTGGTTCCTTGCACCCCTCTGCTCTGTGGTCTGACCTCTGGGGGCTGTGGTGATGTGGGGGCTGCTGGGTACCTCAGGTTCTCTGGCCACAGAGGTGCCACCACTCACGGCGCGTGACGCTGAGAGCGATAAAGCGGCGCCAGCATTTTTCTCCAGGCGTTGGCCAGGGATATTCACATTGGCTGTTTCTAACCTTCCAAGATCCTCCTTCCCTGCAGATGGGAAATGAAAATCCTTGGCATTGGCATGGAGCAGTGGAAGCAAGTCAAGTAAGGTGACTCAGCCAAAAAAAAATAAAGAGGACGAAACCTGCCCAAGCCAGGATCAGTGCAGCAGGGCTCCGGCGCTGCACGGAGCAGCTGAGTGCACGTATAGCCTCTCTCTTACTCGGTGAACAGCTCTTACACGCTGTTGTAAAATGAGAGGCCTTGGAAATGCTTCCCCTCGTTGATCCAATCCCAGTGTTGGGCTCCTGTAAATCTCCCCTAACCGCTGGCAGTGCTGCCAAGCCCTGCTGCAGAGCAGGGAGAGCGGATCGCTCCCCGCTTCCCTCGCCATGCCCAGCTGTTCCAGGGCAAATCCAAACTCATCTTGGCAGGTCGGTGAGAGCTTTTCAAACACTCGGCCTAGGAGTCATTTGTTAGTAACAAATGGGGGATTTGCCAGGACACGCAGCTCCATCTGGTCTGGCATCCTGTCCTCTCCAGCCTTGACGGATCTGCTCAAGGAAGGCAGAGGAGCAGGAAAAAAAAAAAGAAGGCAGTTTTCCCATGGAAGGAAAACCACTTCCTCAGCCTGTCTGAGCAGGGTTTCCTGGGCTGGAGCACCTTGGTGGCATGGCTTGGCCTCTGCGCCTGTCAGCGCCAGCTCTGCAGCTCACAGGCTGTCTGAGGTGTGGGTTGGGACATACATTTTTTATTACTGCTTTGCATTTCACCTCTGAACACCAGCAAGGCTGAGCTGCAGCCAGCCAGAATTCGGGTGTGCTTCCTGCATGGAGTGGGTTCTTTTCTCCTCCTTCCCTGCCATGGTTAATGAGACAAACAATCTTAGAGGTGTTTTCCAACCTAAATGTTTCTATGGTTCTATAATCTGTTTATACTCTTCCTGTAAAATTCCCCCATGTCTTCATTGTGGTGAAGTCTCTGTAGACTCCATGCACGGAGACAGGCCTGAACTGCCTTCTCCGAGGTGTCATCTTGGCATGTTGCGAGTGTGTTGCTCACCTTTTAGACACAGATGAATCTCAAGGGCTCTGTGTCTTACAGCAGGATGGTGCACACTGTCCAGATCTCAAATCCTAGTGTTTGCACTGGGCTTTGTGGGGAAGAGACAGGAATGTATCCATAGCTGGGCCAGATGGAGGTGGCCACCCTTTGGGTGGTCATCTTCAAGCTGGGCTTGGCAGGTTGTTTCAGTTGAGGTGCTGGTGTGCTGCCTTTGACTGGGTGCGGATTAGTGGGGATATCCACATTCCTGATCAGCTGAATCTGGGAATGCAACGGGCTGAAAATCAGTCCCGTGCTTGTCCCAGTGAGCAGGTGGGTTGGGGATGGCAGGGCCCCAACCACCTCCCTGTCAGCACCCAGTGTTGCAGATCAGCTTAAGTCAAGTGTGAAACCACAGGGGAAACACAGGTCAGTGCTAACAGGGGTTGAAAGGGGTTTGGGAGCACCCAGGGTTAGCGGATCCGAAAGGGCAGCAGGCTCTGGCGGAGGCGCAGTGGGAAGAGGCTGATTGAGAGGCTCATGGAAAGCTGCAATTGTTTGGGGCTCTTTTGTTGAAAAGAATTGAAATTGTTTAGTCTGAGCTGCTGCAACCTCGGTGTAGCCATGTCTTGGCTAGAAGTCCCTGTGCTCTGCCCGCCGAGCTCTCCCCACACCCGTGCGGTCACCCTCACTCTGCTCTCTCTGTGTCTGTGTTTTGCAGTATCCAGACCTGAGCCAGGAGTCCGAGTCTCCATTTGTCTTTATCTGCACTAATCCCCAGGAGATGGTTGTGAAGTTTCCCATCAAAGGCAAACACAAAATCTGTAAGTAGTAAAGTTTCCACAGATGCCCCCTCAGCCCTGCAGCCTGCTCCCCTCGCCACCCCAGCTTGCCTTTTGCCAGATGAGTTCCCAACCTTTGCCCTCTGCTCTTTGATCTGGAGGTGTTTGTTTAATGGCTTGAATACATCTGTAATATTTTTTTTTGTCTTCAGTTCCCCTTTCCCCAGATGTTGCTTCCTTCCAAATACATGCCTCTTCCTGCCTCTGCAAACACTTGGGAAGTCAAAGAGCGCTCGTGGCCGTGGCTGATCGGCAGCGTCGGCCCGGGTCAGGGTACGAGCTGCTGTGGCAATGCTCAGGCAGATCCTCCTTGTCCTGTAGTTCCAAATCATCCTCTCACCCCCGAAGATGGTTGAACAGCAAGAGCTGCAGGGCCAGATGGATGTTCCCCATGCACAGGCCGCTGGGACGGGATGTCCTGGCAGAACTCGCAGGGAAGCGCCGCAGCATCTGTCCGCGCTGCGCTTGCCAGCGCCGTTAGTCCCTTTTATGAGCCACCAGCCCCTCTGCAGGCTGCCAGTTATTCCTGCCCGCTGCTGCAGGAAGGATGGAGGAGGGATGCAGCAGCTGGGGAGCCCACAGTCAGCTCCATCCTTATTAGCAGCTTCCCCACCACACAGCCTGGGGAAGGCACCACACATGCTTGCAGGGGATGTGAAAAATTAATTTGACGGGCTAAAAGCAGCAGAAGCAAGAACAATCTTGGCTATTTGTTTAGCAGAGCTGACAACTGGGTGTTCTCCCTCCTTCGCTGTGTGGCTCTCCAGGAGTAGTTACCTGGGGCCTGAGAGCAGTGGGGTTTCTCAGGATGGTTAATAAGGGCTTTTGAAGCACAGCGTAGTTATTTTTGTTGATTTTGATGGGGTTTCCCTCTCTGCTTGGGGAGGCACCATTTTCCCACAGCTTCCATCTCTTCCTGGGTGTTGGGGTGCTCCTCCAAAACATTTTGTTTCTTTCCTGCCTTTCGGAGCAGCACCTGGGAGGTGTGTTCAGCCAATGGTGACCAGTGATGCTTGGAGAGCTGCAGCACTCAGGTCTCACTCACGGCACCTTTCTCCCCTGGGATGGGTCTGTCCCAGCACCAGTGAGCAGGCAGGAGTTATCTAGGATGCAAACATCTTGGCCATGGGAGAACAGCCTCGTGGCTGTTGCATGCTGGACCAGCCACTGCATCCTTTGTTTTTCCTTGTTTTAACCACTCCTTGCCCTCATCCAGGCTCTCTCATGCCCCTTCACTCCCACATCTGCCTCCATCCAGCCACGGATAGGAGGAGAGGGGGAAGCTGCCACGCGGCGTGAGCGCGGGGCGACCAGCTCCTGCACGTCTGCCTCGCCGGGTGCAGGTGCTGCCAGTCCCCTCCCCATCTGTCACATCATCTCCTTTGTGTTGTGACACTTTCCTGCTTGGAGAAGGATCAGTCTAACAGCCTGGAAGGAAGCCGGCTGTGCTGGCGGCTGCCTGTGCTCCTGCTCCCACTGCTGGCCCTGCCTTCCCTGCCCTCCATCCCGACAGGAGCTGTCATGGGAGCAGCACGGGGGGACTGTGGAGCTGTGTGCTCACCTCCTGGAGGGGACGTGGTCCGTCTGGGTGATGTTTGTGACAGCCTAGGGAAGGAGCAGGGAAGCCTTTGACCTTTCATTGGGGTAAGGCGCAGTTTTAATAGGAGCTGGCATTGCATCCCAGGCAGTCAGAAGCTTAATTCTCCAAGCTGGAAGCAGAGCAGAGGGAAGGTGTTGGCTCACATCCCCACCTGGGCTCGCTGGCTGCCCCGGTCTCCTTGAAATCTGGCTCAAGCCATGACAAAATGCCAGTTTGTCTTGTTGGGAAGCCAAGCCAGCGCGGTTTTCCTTGCCAGATAACAGCATGGTCCTCGCCGCGATGACATCCGGATGCTTCTCCATTGCAAATTAGTTGTTTCTAGCAGCCTGGGGATGGGAAAAAGAAAAACCCTAACATGGCTCCATTTTTGCTGCCAGGGTCATTGTTTGTGTGGAAGGGATGGGCACAGTGCTTGTGTTCCATCGCGGAGCACAGCACTCCCCAAACACATCCCTGTGCCGTTTTAGTGGGTGAGGACAAAGCTTGCTGGCTGTTCTCCTGGGAGATTTCCTTGAATCCAGGCAGAGCTTCTCTGAAGCACGGCTCAGAAACCTCTCTTCAACAGCCAGTGGTGCAGAGGAGCAGGCAGAGGGACATGGTGTGATGCGAGACGAGATGTGAGGCTTTAAATCATGGAGCGGAAAGAGCAGGAGACCCTGGGGCTTTGCCTTATTTTTAGCCTTTTCTTAAAGGTTACCTACGTGGTGTTTAATGTTTGCCAGCTGGAAGAGCAGAGAAGCCTCAGGACCGTTTTTGGGGTCCAGGAGAAGCAGGCAGGCACATGAAATATGATGCTGACAGCCCTGCTGACACACCAGTGGTGGGGGATCAGAGCATGGAGTGAGTGTGAACTCACTGCTTTTCTCTTGCCAAGAATCCCACGGCTTGGCAACACTGGTCCGACGCGCTGCGTCCGGCCAGGCTGGCCGCGTTGGTTCAGCCTCCTTGGGTGCCCATCACCATCTCCGGCCTTTGCAAGGAGGGCACTTCTTCCCCATCGTTAGGCAGGGGAGGAAAATCTTCTCCGAGGTAGACAAGTGGCTGGTGGATCTCCAGGCCTTGCACCTTGCTCTCCCAGATTCCTCACCATGCCTGGCTTCTGGCTTCTTCTGCAGGAATTGTCCACATCCTGTGTTCTGGTGTTCTGCTCCTCTCCAAGGTGGGAAAACAGAGCTGGCAGCAAAGCCTCCAAGGGCTGTGAAGGACAAGAGGAGGCAGTGTTTGCTCCAGGTCCCCCCAGAGCTGCTGGCTGAGGTTCTCCCCAATGGCAAAGGCAGCATGGCCCTCCCAGCTGGTGGCCTTAGTGGCCACCAACTTGGCAGCACAGAGCAGTTGTCCCCATCACCCTGTGCACCCATTGCATCATCCTCCCCAAGCTGAGGGTTTGTTGTCCCCAACAACTTTCTGCCGCTCCATGGAGAAGAACCATGTCCCCGACATGGTGCTTGACAGTCTCCCATCTCCTTGGAGCGTGTCAAGACGCATCCCCTGGGCGAGAGAGCGGATTGGTTTCCCCTCTGGTAGTGGCAGGCGAGTGCTGGATGTTAATTTACTCTCCTCCTTGCTGAATTTCCCCCTCTCTGGCGTCTCTTGGCCGCGTCGGACACGCTTGCCCCTGGCTCCCCGGTGTCTCCTGCGGAGGGAGGCCGTGGCGGCTGGAAACGCCTGGCTCCTCAAGCAGGATAATTGGATGTGACAGGAACACACTAACTAGGAGACCTCGCTGCCTCCAGCTTATTTGCATTGCAAATAGCATTTAAAAATAAAGAGTGATAAGGGTTTGTTGTGGTTTTTTTCCCTCTTTAATCCCCTCTTTACAGGGAAGCTGGATGCAAAGATCCATCAGGGAGCGAAGAAGGGGTTAATGAAGCAGAAAGCTGTGGGGTGAGCGCCGGGGGAGCGGTGCCCGTTCCCACGCAGCACCCTCCGAAGGGTGCCAGGATGGTCCTCAGCTCTGGAAGGCAGGTGCAAGACGGATCCCTGATCCCAGATTATTTTTAGGTATTGCTTTATCTGTTGTATTCCAAAAAGCATTAAAAGAGATGTTTTTTTCACCAAGCTCTGTGCTTCCCGGGAAGTCACAAGGGTGGGTGGGAGATGGAGCTCGGTGGGATGGGGTTCAACAAGTTCTGGTGTCTCCTCATCTCCCAGGAGCAGCAGATCCCAGGGTGGGCAAGTGGAACTCACCAGCACTGGCCAGCCCAGCTCCATCCTGGCTTTGGCAGCATCTCCCTCCCCAAAATGTGCCTCGAGGTGTTTTTGGCTGGATGGGGTCGGACGCATCGAGGAGAAAGGCGAGGAGCTGGAGGGATGAGGGGGGTGGCTCCCAAGAGCTTGAGCCCTGCCAAGTGGGGTTGGGGGCTCAGGGTGGGCTTTGTGCCTCTCAGACATTCCACTCACAGGTGGCCTTCCAGCCTTTGGAATTGCTGCTGGGTGCCCAACCTTACATCCTTCTCCCCTGATTTGTACCAAAGCAGCAGCCACCCTCCAAAACCTGCCCCCCTGCCAGCAGCTGTGTGCAAAACACCTTCTCAACAAGGTTAATTTTGCCTTTTTCTCTAATCTCTCATGTTCAGCCTCTCCCTGCATCGCTGTGTCCCTGCTCATTACACACTGGTGTGCACTGGGCTGTGAGCCCTTCGTGCCACGGTGCTCCAGGCTCTGCCTCGACGTGGTCTGAGAGCTCCTCCTTATCACCCGGAGAGCCCACCCTGCTCTGGGGAGGATGGGGAGACCCCCCAGCACTGCCAGCATCACTACTCCTCCTCCTCCTTCTCCTCCTCCTCCTAGGAGGTCCTGCCTAAGACTGGCTTCCATGTGAGCCTGGGATTTGGCTCCGTATTAAACTGGATCCATCTCCTGCATCTATCTGTGACCCCAGTGGCTCCCTGTCCTTATGTCACTCACAGCTCACATCTGGAGGTTTTGTCCCCGAGGGTTTCACGTTCTCTGCTGTTGTCAGTAGGATCCTTTGAGTCCCACGGGGGCTCTGACAGTCCTGGTCACAGGCTCTGCTCATGGTCATGGCTAAACACACCATCGGGGAGGTGCTGGGATCATTCCCAATGGAGCCATCCAGCCCAGCAGGGGTTTTATTTTCCTCCTGTATTAGTGACATCACTTGTGGCTTTGCGAGGGAAGGCTCAGATTGATGCGCTGGCCCATCCCTGGTTTGCCCTGCATTCCCATCTGAAGCTGGTTTTCCCCCCCTCAGGAGCATCATTCCAAGTCTGGGATGTGCTGAACATCAACACCAAATGCCCAGAACACCTTTTACCCAATCCTTGGAAATGTTTTAGTAAAAAAATGACTTGGATTTGTTGATTCAGGTTGTCTTGGGGCCCATCAACATTGGCTTTGTGCCATGTGAGGACAGTTTCTTCACTTCGTCAGGATAGGGAAGGGTTTGGGGGACATGTCACCTTCTGGGGATGGGGATGGCTGGGGATCCAGATGCTCCTTGCATCTAGAAAAATGCCTGGAGAGGCAAAATGGCAGTGTGGGGCACGATGTGGTGGGATTTGGGTGATGATGTGGTGGGATTTGGGGTGATGATGGTGGGATTTTGGGGTCATGTGGTGGGATTTTGGGGTGACAATGCGGTGGGGTTTTTGGGGTTGCGATATGGTGGGGTCTGGGTGATGATGTGGGGGGATTTTGGGGGGCTGGGGGGGGGGTGTTTCATGTGGTGGGAGTTGAGGGTTATGATGTGGTGGGGTTTGAGAGTTGTGATATGGTGGGGCCTAGGTGATGATGTGGGATTTTGGGGGGATGATGTGTTGGGATTTTAGGGTCCTGTGGTGGAATTTTGGGTGATGACGCAGTGGGATTCTGAGGTCATGATGTGGTGGGATTTTGGGGGTTGCGATATGGTGGGGTCTGGGTGATGATGCGGTAGGATACAGGGATGATGATGTGGTGG